TAGTTGGATGGATTATGTTATGTATCTATCTAAATATGTAAATCATGTAAGACAAATGCAATATAGAACTAGCGGGCCATACGAAATTCTGTCAGATGTACATATTCAAATGCGTAAATATGTACCTATTTTATATGTACATAAATCCTTATCGATGAATTCATATGGTAGGAAAGCGTATGTTACAGCAAAAATCATTTATTTTTTGTGTATATTAGATATAGACTTTCAAGACACAACATTTTATACATTCTAATATTATAAAATATGTATATGAAAGTAAATAAGTCTATCTGTTAATTTTTCACCACCGCAGAACAGATTTTGATGAATTTTGGTATAGGTATATATAAATATAGGTAGATTGCATCATAGGGACGGATATAGTTACATAAGCTACCTTTAACCCCGAGCAAGCGAAAACGCGGACAAAAAATATCCAGTTGTACACAAAATCTCGAATAAAAATATTATTATTAACAGTTCGACATTATCCATATTGCTTCATAGTTTTCTATGAAGCAAATATTCTGGACGGACATACAAATATTTATATTTATATTGGCATAAGCGAGTTCGTAGAAAGGCTGAGATAACGTCAACAAATAAAACGATAAGAGACGTTAGACGTGAGTCGTAACTAGCCAATGCGTAACTTCTGTGTATTGTATTAATTTAATCAAATCCTTTGTTTTGAGACACACAGACAGACAGAGAAAAATTACTCTTTAACTAAAAGGGTCAAAGACTTTAAAGTCACTTTTTCAGTCACTTACGCACTTACACACATAAAAAAATCACTATTGGCGAGGAAAAAATCATACATCCAAATCGAGTATGTTCTTCTTTTTAAACTCTTATTCTTGGAATAAAAAAGTATCTGTATTTAACTTAGTTAAACTTTTTCCATAGCTGTTCTAGGTAGAGACCGTAGGTTAATTAATATAATTAAAACCGTCTTATGTTGTATGCTGAGCCTACAGTGAAGTAAATTTTTTACGATGTAAATATTTTTACTAGTTATTCAAGTAATTGCCTCAAATTATGATATGGTCATGTGCCAGCATGATAGAAAACGCGTGTCAGCCAAAGTTGAGCCAAATCTAAGAGGGGGACTTTTTGCCCCCAAATGATCTTAAAATTGCTTACAGTTTTTAAGAAACAACAATATATTTTATCGTTCTAAAAGGATTAAACTTTGAAATGTTTTGAAGTTAATGGAAATGATAGAATAATTAGCTATTCTGTGAATTATGTCGCAAACAAGGAAATCGAGTGCGTCCTTATGTATTGTATTCAGCCCTTTTTGACGTCCCACTTCTAGGCACATGTCTCCCTTCAATACGAGGGGGGTCAGGCCACAGTCCACCACGCTGGCCAAGTGCGGGTTGGCGGACTTCACATGTCATTCGAAAACTTGTAAAGTTCTCTCAGAAATGCAGGTTTCCTCATGATGTTTTTCTTCACCATAAGACAAGTAGTCGAAATGATTCGCAAATGAAAATAACAGAGGAGCGAGACCCGAGATTTGAACATGCTTCACTCGGTTTCCCAAGCGAGCGCTTTACCACTGGGTTACCACTGCCTTATGTAACTATAAATATTTAGCCCGTAAAAGTACTATGGTTAGCAACTCACTACATGGGGCCATCTATGATGGTAGATGATAACCTATTCAGTTAATTATTTTACAAGTCAACATTTTAATTATTACATGTCTTTTTTGTTTTCTTTTTTTTTTAAATTGCGGACGTTATATACACTTCTCATTGATATATGTATTCACTATGTACCTATCACGAATCGTGGTCAACACATCATCATTATCATCATGTTGGTATATTAAATATAAAATAAATTTTACAAAATTGTCATGAAAATATATGTATTAGTAGGTCCATAAAGTGAAATGCACTGGAAATAACTACCTTTCTTTTTGACATCTGTCAAAAATTACTGTTGAACAAAAAACAAACACACATACCCTGAGTATAATACTAAAGTAGAGATTTTATACCAGCTCCGTTCCGCTGTACTTTTTGCGGGTTTTTTTTTCTTCTTCGAAATATTTAGATTAGTTTTATTAAATTACATTGAAATATATGTATGGAGCATAATATTATTAGTATATTAATAATCTTATACTTGAATTTCTTGGGAACTATGTACTAGTTCTAAATAAAAAAAACCCACAAATATATATCTCTGATAATAATTTGTTTTACTTGTTTGTACATTTTTTAAAATAAAACTTTAAACTCTACTCAATAAGGAATATGCGTGTGATTTAAATAAAGGTAAAATATATTTTTTTATAATCTTTATTGCTTCTGAATCAAGCCTATATAAATATTTTTGAATGTAATTTATTTTTGATTTCGAAAATAATTATTGAAAAGTGCAAAAATAGGCAAAATTAACAATCTAGAACTGTTTTGAAATGTTGTCATAGACTATGAAGTCACGCCACGCGCGCCAAAATGGTTGGCTTTCAAAGAATCCGTATCTGTGCGATTTTTTAAATTATTTTTTCATACAAAATTTAAGTTTTTTGGGGCTGGATTTAAAAAAAATTATATAACGATGTAAGATATTGCATAAATAACCACGCATATTCCCTATTATACTTATTACACAAGCACTTTTGAATCGTCAACTTCTTCATTTCCTTACGATATAGAGACTTGACATAGCAATCTATGTAAGAATTATTTTTTATCCGTAATACGGAAAGCCACCAATACGTAGGTTACTACGGTCCATGGTATATGTATACGATGTAGACTTGTATTTGTTTAAGCAAGTGATAGTTCAAGTAAATACACTACTGTTTTGTAAAGTTTCTCAAGTGTTTGCAGTAAACTGAATGAAGCTTAGCCTTTAAAGTCAGAATGATATTAATTATTTTATGATATATTTAAGAAAAAATTTTTTATATAAAATTTTGATAATTATGTCTATATTTTTATTATTTTTTGTATTGCGATTCTGTACAATTATCCCCTTTATCTTGATTTTCATTGCGTATACCACATGCGCAACAGCAGAAATGATATAAAATAATCAATTGTAATACCAGTAGTGAGTTCTTTCCTAGATAAACAGTAGCAAATCTATGTCAGTCTCCATTACTCCATATAAAAATCATATTTAACATGACGACACGTTTGGCTCAGTTTGTAATGACCCTACTTGCTGTGCCAGCGGTCGCGGGTTCGAGTCCCGCTGGGGGCATTCATTTGTGTGATGAGACAAACATTCGTGACGTTTGTACTCCAGTCATGGGTGTTTATATTTATAATATGTATGTATTTAAAGTTATATATGTGTAGTGTATCAACTATTTGGTATCCATAACACAAGCCTCGTAGCTTATCATAGAACTAGATGGTGCTGTGTATTAATGTCCCGACACATTTATTTAATATTATTTAAAACAGGCATCACGCTATATTCATTAGAAACAAAGTAATAATTATATATAAATAAACTACACGAGCGGAGCTGCAGGCAAAAACTAGTATCAATCCAATTAGTATAGAAATATAAATCCAAGTGAGATTTAAATTTCAACACATAATCAAATCAAGAAATCCATTTGTTTTAACTTTCAAAAGCATCGAGTATAAAAAGAATTTATTAAAGCTCTACATACTGTAAGGCATCTTATTCGTCCTGCAGCATCTTGCTTAAGATGCAGACTGGTAGGGATATTGTAGAATCAAATAAAAACAGAAGTGGCATGACAATAAATTCTAAATTTTGATTTTTTAAATTTCTTTAATTTTTGTATAATTATATTGTGTTGACTGTTGTAGGTCCTGATTTTACAACGAATCGCTCTGTTTCTACATGTAATCAGATTAGAGTTTTTTTTTCTCCTTTCTTACCGGCCATTTTATACATAACGTGCCTTCTCCGTTCTACGCGACATTGGCGAAGTAAATTGAGTTTAAAGGCACTCCTAGATGCTAAGAAACTAAATAATTTAATTGAATAATATTCTTAGATTTCTATTAAATAAATCGGATTACCTACTGTTATAAATGCAAAAGTTTGTATGTATGTGTGTATGTATTTGTTACTCCTATAGCGAAAACGGCAAAAAAAATTGTACACAGAGTATAGTCTGGAGTTGCACATAGGCCTCTGTTACCTAGACACACACCCGGGTAGTTGTTGGTAGTTGTGGTTGCAATAAAAAGAAAAAAAAAATTGAGCCGTTCACGTTTAATTAAGTTCATGAAATAATAACAGGAAATATGGCTTTCATTAAATTATAAGTGGATAAGGATAAATTTATAGTTAATAATTATAATCGTTAACTCATTAAAACTATACTTCCTCTTAACTTTGACCTTAGCTTCCTGTGTAACTGACAAATGTAGTAATTTTACTGGTTCGTGTGGAATAGATAAACTATATGATATATAGCATAGCCTTAGCCATAGCCTTCCTCAATAAACTGGCTATATAATGCAAAAAGTATTTTTCAAATCGGATTAGTAGTTCCTGAGATTAGCGCGTTCAAACAATTATTCCATATTATTAAATTTGCCTCTTTATAATATTTGTTTAAATAATATTTTATAGGTCTAAGTTCTTGACAAAGTCTCATTGAAATCGATATATTTTTTTAAAAGATTACCCCTCAAACAAACAGATGAAAAGACAAAAATTATATATTTACTGGTACATACTCGTATGTATATAGTATATACATATAATACAACTATGATTTCCAAAAAAACGGACATGTCAACTTTATTAAATGTATATACGCATCTACCAGATAATCTTTGTAAAGACAGAGATGGCAGTTGCAGACGGCGACCGAAATAGATCGCGGCGTGTACGCACTCGCATCGCACTCCTGCGCAGAGTTAAAGACCCACAATATTTATATGCCTTCAGTCCTAACTTATATCGTGAACTTGAGTGAAATGTGGTGATAACTGATAAAATTTGTGCTTTTTCTGGATTATTCGATTTTTGTGATCATGTGGTACATTGTTTTGTTATTGTTTGGTCTTCCTGTTTATGCAGATGGTAAGTTATATTATTATATATGTTCATGAATTGCTCTATCTAATTAGATAATAGAGACGTATAGAAAAGCCCTTACTTCCGTATCCCGTTTACGTCTCATTAAATAATTTAAAGTACGTACGTATATTGAAAGATACTAGCAAAATTAAAATGAAAATTAAATATATTTTTTATTTAATAATGGCGTTAAATAAAATTATAAAGCCTAAATATTTTTTTTGGTAAAGTTAAGAGTTTTTTTTTTGATAAACTCAACATTTTAAATTTGATAGTCTTACAACTACTTTTGAATAGACTATCTAAATTGCATCTACAATGACTGCTCATGCAGTACAAGCAAACCCTTCTAATAGGAAATAAACTTTTATATAAGATAATTTATAATAGCAAAATACACAGATAAACACTAGAGAAAATGTAGCGTTATAAAATTGACAATATATGCTTCAATATTTCTATTATTTACACCGCTCTTCAGTTTATTTTTAATATTCATAACTAAAGTAATATTATATTATTTCTATTAGACCTAAGCTACACACCCTCGCTCCGCTCGAGTTCATCCCTAGGAACGTTTTAACGGTTAATATAGATTTCTTTTTTCCGCAGTTAAAAGTATCCTATATGTTGACCCGGGTAACTAGCTATCATCATACCAAATGTAATCAAAATCTGTCAACTGGTTTTCTCGTGATGCGTTCCGAGACAGTTAGACAGACAAAAATTCTAAAAAACTATAAAAAACTATAGATTCACTTTTTGTTACGATAATAATGACTATTTCAATAAGATTTTCCAAAAAATATTTAATGTACAGATTCGACTTAGTTACAATTTTATTATATGTATAGATTTGTGTACATATATTATGCGAAGTCTTTTCCAAGTACGTAATGATTTTCATAGTTTTATTGAATAGAGAGAAAGATTAAACCTTAAAATGCAAATTTTTATTAGTGGTCAACTTGACTGAAGCCGCGGGCGAAATTTAGTATTAAGTACAATTTTAACCGACTTCCAAAAAGGAGAAGATTCTGTGTTCATCTGTATACCTTTTTTTAAATGATAGGTACGTAACAAAAAATAAAAGTAACGTTTTATTAGGATTCAGGATATTATAACTTGACCAAAAACCAAATTCTTAGGTTTTACATATTAGTATACTCTTACATTGCAGTTTTAGCATTTTTCTCAGAAATTAGATATTTTCCCGCAGTGAAAAGTATCCTATATGTTGACCCGGATCGGATACCCAGCTATCACCATACCAAATTTCATCAAAATACCTCCAGTGGTTTTTACGGGATGCGGTAACAGACAGATAGACAAAAATTCTAAAAACTATAAATTCGGCCTCTGTATCGATAATAATGTCTATTTCAATAATATTTTTCAAAAAACATTTAATATACAGATTCGGCTTCGTTACAATTTTATTATATGTATAGATAATATTATACTATTTTTAAAAACATTGTTTAATTGATTAAAGGGGCTTATTATTTCACTTGTAAAGAATTATAATCCCATGTATCGTAGAATATTTTGCTGACAATTAAATTAATTAATACCAACATTTATGCTTAACATTTAGACATTATATTTTCTTACAAAATTAAAATCTTTACATAATATAAAATGAAGTCGCTTACGCTGGCTGTTCGCTTAGATCTTTTAAATTACTCAACGGATTTTAATGCTGTTTTCAGCAATAGATAGAGTGATTCAAGACGAAGTTTTATATGTATAATACATGCATATTATAGCACAGAAAAGCCGAGAAAATCAAAGATTTGTATTTCATACTAACCGTTAAAACGTACCTAGGGACGAACCCGATTTGTTCTTATAAAATCTTACCTCATTATCAAAATCGACTTAGTAGTTGAGGCAATAAGGTGAAAAAGTAAATACGAACACACATATAGACTGGCTTTTCAAAACACAAAAAACCTTTTGGTTTCGCCGTAGTCGGGTAAAAAACTAAAAGGCAGGTGGAATACCGCGTATTCTGCCTCGAGCGATCATGTACTTTAATATTCGATAACTTGTTTTAAACGTCCAGGAATTTACATTATTTTATATCTATACGAGATTTAATCAAGGGAACGATGAAATATTAAAGACAAAATCACTGTGTTAGGCTTACTAGTTACTTCATAATCTACATATACGAGTAAATAGGCAAAGACAAACCACCAGTTCAGTACTTTGAAACTTCTTTTTGTCAACCGTTTTTTTTTGTTTAGTAGCTATTGATGAGCTTTAGTGTTATATATACTTCTATACTAATAATAATTATAAAGAGGTAAAGTTTGTGAGTTTGTGACGTTGTAGGGGGTAATCTCTAGATCTACTGAACCGATTTAGATGAAATTTGGTAAGATGATAGTTTGAGACCCTGGGAAGGACATAGAACTATTTATTCCGGAAATCATCCCTTAAGGAGATGAAAATGGGGTTGAAAGTTTGTATTGAGAAGCAAGCTAGGGACGAACCCGAGCGAAGTGTGGGTGAGTCGCTAGTTAAATAATTAAGTGATATTAGAAATAGGTTTATTTATATATTGTAAGTATATGGTTGAATTTTTCACTGGACATACATATAAATTCTAACTAAGCCGAATCTGTACATTAAATACTTCTTGGGAAATATAATTGCAATAGACATTATTATCGATACAAAGGCCGAATCTATAGTTTTTAGAATTTTTGTCTGTCTGTCGGTTACCGCATCATGGAAAAACCACTGGAGGGGTTTTGATGAAATTTGGTATGATGGTAGCTGGTTATCCGGGTCAACATATAGAATACTTTTTACCGCGGGAAATTATCTCATTTCTGAGAAAAAATACAAAAACTGCAATGTAAGAGTATACTAATATATAAAACTTAAGAAATTGGGTTTTGGTCATCTGAACGCGGGCGGAGCCGCGGCCAATGCTAGTCAATATATAAAATAGCCCTATGATTCTAATTAATCATTTAATCGATGAAATATGTATCATCGTTATTATAATTAAATATTTTGCACGATCAAAGAGAGTTAAAATTTGTATGAGATATTGGAAAAAGCCGGAACATATTCTTGATCCATACCACCCATTCTAATATTATAAACTAGCGACTCACCCTCGCTTCGCTCAGGTTTCGTCCCTAAGTACGTTTTGACGCTTAGTATGTCATAGATTTTTTTCAAAATATTTAATAATTATTCTACTTTTCGGGGTGAAGAAGACAAATTCAACAAAACAAAGATCATAAATATCAATCCAGCAGTGCTATGTATATATGTATATATATATATATATATATGTAAAGTAACTCTAACTTTGTCTGTTACCTTTCTACGATTAAATTGCTGAACTGATTTCGATAAAATTTTGCGAGAACATAGACTGCATGCTGGGGTTGGACATAAGCTATCTTTCATCCCCGCCTTAGTAACCAGGTGAGTAAAGCCGCGGGCAAAAACTGGTATAATAAAAGTATGGAACCGTCGCCGTTCTATTTCAATGTTTATTTAGTGATAATTGTGAATAGTGATAAGAATGGTTTAGATTCAGCTTTGTTACGCAGATTACGGACTTTTTGTTATATTTCCTTAGTATTATGTCCCTAATAAAATATTATTAACGTCCCACTGCTAGGCACGGACCTCCTTTCAATAGTCCACAACGCTGGCCAAGTGCGTTTTGGCGGACTTTACAATGTCTTTCGAAAACTTGCTAGGTTCTTTTCCTTCATCGCAAGACAAATAAATGGTAATCATGTTGGAAGTGATTCGCATATGAAAATATCAGAGGTGCGAAGTGAGACTCAGGATTTGAACTCGCTTCACTCGGTTTTTATCACTGCCTTAATATATATCTATGTTACTATGTATTTCTTACTATTTTGTCCTACGGCTTCATTCATATATGTGTAGGTTTTAAAAGGTCGAATTCGTGCTACTTAAAAAAGCGTATACCTACTGGACTTTATATTAAATAGCGCGTTCCCGACTCGCGCTTGGTCAATTTATATTGTTTGTGGTTTTATTTTAGCGTTTGAGTTATTAGTATAGATTTCTTAGAGATGAAACATTTTTGCAGTAAAAAGTATCCTATATTTTGACCTGGATAACCAGCTATCATCATACCGAATTTCATCAAAATCTGTCCAGCGGGTTTCTCGTGATGCAAAAATTCTAAAAACTATAGACTCGGCTTCTATATCGATAATAACTTTCTATAAGATTTTCCAAAAAATATTTTCCAGTTAGAATTTTATTATATGTATATCTATATTTACATATGTATGTGTTATGAAGTAAATTATTTGTACTTTAAAAAAAAATCATTAATTAATATTTGAATTACTCTTTAATGTTATTTACGCTAAAAATGTTTTATGTAGATTCGGAGGCTTTAGTTTAAAAATTACTGGGCATAAAAAGATTATTTTTGTTCGAAACTGTTATATAATTTCTCAGGTGGAGTCATGACCGAGACTACAAAACATAAGTTTCTACCGTAGCCATGTTTGCTGTAAAGAATTCGAAACGTCGGGAATAAAATATCTAAATATAAATAAGCAAAGACAAAATAGTTCGGTGCCTTTTTCGTCTCTGTTTGTCAACCGATTTTCTTTAATTTGAAATTTTTTTTAAAAGTTTTTTTTTTGGTAATATAGATAAGTTATTTCTATTCATATTTTCAATAGCGATTATGGTCGAATTTAGGTCACTTAGAACTAAGAACTAGTCAAAATAAACCGCGAAAAAATCAGAAAAGATACGTTTAATTAAGGCTGTTGCTATTCGCACTTAAAATAAGCACGAATAAAAAAATCGTTTTTTAATAGGAAGAATAATAAATTAAGGAGTCTGATGCGATAATAATCGGATGAATGAAAAATATATTATTCGTCCGAATATTGTCGGTTTGTACGAATATTTACCACTTTTTTTTGTTTTCCAATGTAAAAAATATGATATTTAGGTGCAGGAGTTTCTGTATG